AAAAAAAAAAGACTGGGCTATGAAGCCAGGTCAGTCTAACTCTGAAGCCAATGTTCTGGATCAGCGTACTGCACAGTCTCTGAAAGACCATCTCAGGAGTATCTTAATCAATAAAAAAATATATTAATTTAAAAAAAAGAAAAAAAAAAGAAACTAGTATGTAACAAATAAAGACTGGGCTATGAAGCCAGGTCAGTCTAACTCTGAAGCCAATGTTCTGGATCAGCGTACTGCACAGTCTCTGAAAGATGACCATCTCAGGAAGGTTCAAGCCCAAATAGTAACATTTGGCCAGAGCAGCAGAAGTAACAATAGTAGAGATACCACAAAATGGACACTTGCTTTGTTGCAAAATCTGAGCTAATCATTTAAAAACCTTACCTTGCTTGGTACTTATACAAATACTATTAGTCATATTATCTTCATTTTGCAGACAAAGCCACTGAGGCTTACTGACATTAAGCAAACTGTGAAAGGCCTCACAGATCTGAAGTGACCATAGAAAATACTATTAGATACGTGAGCTTTCACTTCTAATCTATCAAATTATGAGACTTCCTATTCCCCGGTACATAATAATACCAGAATTAGCAAAGCCACAACTAACTGGCACACTCATCCACTGTCTATAAGAAGCATGCTAGAAAAGTTCTGCGAAGAAGCAAGGCAAAGTGCATCAGAAACCTTAACAATTCCTATCTAATGACTGTACTTTTCACCCATCTCAATTATGTGAATGTTGGGGTACATCTCGATAATCTAGCCTACCATACTTATCTTGCTTTTAGAGTATAACCTTTTGTTAAGAGAGTACTGTTTCAACATATAACTTTCTACTTATGCTCTATCTACCACATGGTTTGGCAAACTACACCCCACAAACAGCCCACCAGTTGTTTGGAAATAAAGTTTTATTGGAACCAGCCATGCACACTCACTTATGTATTATCTATGCCTGCTTTGTGCTGTGATGGTGAGTTAAGAGGTGGTGACAGAGACCACATGGCCATGCAAAGCCATCTGCCCCTTTGAAGAAAAAGTTTGCTCAGTTCAGTTCTAATTTTTAGTTCTATAAAACTCTAGACTTTGAGTGAACACTGTCAAACAACCTATCATTTAGAGTTTTGTTAGGTTTATTTTCATCCCTAACAGGTAGGATAGATGGATCCAAATTAAGCACTTGCTGGCCGGGTTATCTCGGAAAGAAACGCAAATTTAAACGCATACAAGGAAGCACAGCCCTCATCTAAGATTTACCTGACTTTTCTGAGAATACAGGCAGGAAAATCTAAGCTATTCTCATCATGAATCAGTATGAAATATACTGGACCGTCATCTCCACAACTATAAGGCAATAAACAATACGGGGTAAACAGCACCCTCTTTCCTCATTAGAAAGCATACTCAGAGAAAAACCCCACAAACCTTGTGTGTTCTTGAAGGATATGATGGCCTGTCGGTAGGGGTTTGGGGCATCTGCAGCATCTGTCAGGTTGGCCAGCACCAGCAGGAGCAGGAGACTCTGGTTGGCCAGAGGGGAAGAAAGTGCCGGCGTGTTGGCCGCTTTGCTTCCCACGCCGCCCAGGGTGAAGACAGTCCAGAGTCCAGCTTGAGAAGAAAACATACAGGTAAGATGCGCTGAGACAGGTAAGATGACTATATTCCTTGCAACAATCCATACTTTTTCATTTTTAAAAGTTTGAAATAACACTCTTTTTAATTATGAAAGTAAAACAAGTCCATTATTTGAAAATTCCCACATTGCCCAAGGATATAAGATTTTTAAAGACTATATCATTCCCGATTCCACTGCCACTTCCCATAGATAACCATCATTAAGTTTCTAATATATCTCTCCATATTTTTCTTTATATACCCAAACATATTCACATTTATAAGAAAACTAGAGCCCTGATTGGTTTGGCTCAGTGGATAGAGCGTCAGCCTGTGGACTGAAGGGTCCCAGGTTCGATTCTGGTCAAGGGCATGTACCTTGGTTGCGGGCACATCCCCAGTAGGGTGTGTGCAGGAGGCAGTTGATCGATGTTTCTCTCTCATCGATGTTTCTAACTCTCTATCCCTCTCTCTTTCTCTCTGTAAAAAATCAATAAAATATATATTTTTTAAAAATCCTTATTATGAGAAACTGTATCATTATGTGCTGAATGACTCTACATGTTTATAAAGAGATAAAAGAAAACCATGTAGAGACAGCTTTATGATGAAAAAAAAAAAGTAAAACACTAAATACAACTAGAAAGAGGCAATGGAGTCCTGTGGTTGAAGGCAGGCCCTGGAACCAGACTGGCTGCCTCCAAATCCTGCTACACTGCTTACTTCCAGCCTGTTACCCCGGAAGCACTCAGCTGAACAGAGCATCCTCTCTCCCTGGCTTAAGTTTCCTCATCTGTAGACTTATGTGTTTGTGATGAAAGGATATGTAAGATCTCAAGGATTTTATGATCATACTAGAGGCCCGGTGCATGAAACTTGTGCACTCAGGTAGGGGGGGAGTTCCCCCAGCCTGGCCTGTGCCCTCTCACAGTGTGGGAACCCCGCGATCGATCTCCCCAAAGAGGTAGGCCCCGCCCACCCATCCAGGGCTCCTCAATGGAGTGCCCCAAAGAGGTAGGCCAGAGCTGGGGTCCTGCCTCCGTGCTGCGTGGAGCCCCTGGGACCCGCCTCCACGCTGTGCACGCAGCATCAAGCCCCCGCCCACCCGCACGCGCCCGCTGCGCACACAGCCTCCTGGTGATCGCTCGTTGCGGCGTGAGGGCATCATGGCGTGAGGGCGTGACGACCACATAGGCTTTTATTAATAGGATTTCATGTATGACCGTATGCACATATACCTGAAAACCTAAGCAAAATATTAAAATATCTAGGAAAATACAAAATATCAAAATTGACCAAAAAGACAAAAGCCTGAATTGGCAAATAATCTTAGAAGAGTGAAAAATGAACTCAAAGAGCTAACCCTAAAAACAAACCACATCCAGCTATTTTAACAAATAAGTCTAACAAACCCTCAAAGTACAGATAATTCTCATCTATACATATAAAACCCTAAGCGAGATAGCCTAAATCAAACAAAAGGAGATAAAATTTTGTAGAAAAATTTGTTAAAAAGAATAAATACATCATGGTCAAGAAGGTTTTGTCTCTGAAATGCAAGAATGGTTCACCATTATAAACAACAACTTATAAATTGTTGTTTCTCTTCATTTAAAAAAGATGGAAGAAAAGATGGTCATCTCAAGAGATGAAAATTTTTTAAAAATTAAACTTAAAACCTATTCTTAATTTAATGAAAGAGAATTCTTACAACTAGAAAGGGAAAAAGAAAAACTTCTTGGTTTGTCTACCTAATCAGAAATTCACAGAAACACCAATTAGAAAGGATATATGCATCCCTATGTTCATAGCAGCACAATTCACCATAGCTAAGATTTGGAAAGAGCCTAAGTGCCCATCAGTAGATGAGTGGATTAAAAAACTGTGGTACATCTATACAATGGAATACTACGCTGCAGTAAAAAATAATTTCTTACCATTTGCAACAGCATGGATGGACCTGGAGAGCATTATGTTAAGTGAAATAAGCCATTCAGAGAAAGATAAATATCACATGATTTCATTCATTTGTGGAATATAATGAACAATATAAACTGATGAACCAAAACAGATCCAGAGACAGAGAAGCATCGATCAGACTGTCAAACCTCAGAGGGAAGGTAGGGGAGGGTGGGGGGAAGGGGGAAAGATCAACCAAAGGACTTATATGCAAGCATATAGGCCTAACCAATGGACACAGACAATATGGGGGTGAGGGCATGAGTAGGGGGAATGGGGGGTAATGTGGGGATAAGGACACATATGTAATAATCAATAAAAAAATTTTTTTTTAAAAAAAGAAATTCACAATGGTCAAACATTAGAATTCCATTAATATCACCAACATCCATACTGTACTACTGGAACACTAAGCAAAAGATATTAAGGAAAGAAAAACAAAGACAAGAAAAAAAAAGAAAAAAACTTAATTTTTATAAGCAATCTGTGCACTATCCAATACAGTAGCCACTAGCCACTGTGGGCTGTTCTGGGAACTTGAAATGTGGCTATATAGTCTAAACCGCATTGTGCTTTAAGTATTAAAATACACATGGAGATCCAAAGACTTAATACAAAAAAAAGTAAAAATCTGTCACTAATTTTTAAATATTGATTACATGTTGAAATGATAATATTTTGTTGGATATATTGCATTAAAGTGTATTGTTAAAGTAAATTTTGTCTGTTTTTTTTTCATTGTTTTTTAATATGACTTCTGGAAAATTAGAATTACATATGTGGTTTGCATCTATGGGTCACATTATATTTCTACTGGACAGAGATGTTCTAGAACACCAAGAGACTCAACTGACACTATTAGAATAGATTTTGGTACCATTCTATGACCCCAAAAAAATCAACTTACAAAAAAATCAAAAGTCTTTCTATAAATGAGCAATAATTAGCAAGTCCAATCACAACAGCAACAAATCCAATAAAATATTCAAGAATAAACACAAAAGAAATGTGGGAGACCTTTATGCAGACAACCACAGAACTCGACTAAAGGTCATATGAGACCTGAATTAGTATAAAGATACAACATATTTCCAGACAAAAAGACTCAATAATGTAAAACTGCCCTCAAGTTAATCTAAAATTCAGTATAACCACTATCAAAATGTCAAGAGAAATTTATGTAATATTTTGTAATACAGTGTAAATAAAATACTGTTGGGTGTGAAAATACATAAGAAAAAAATTTTTGAGAAGGACTAACTTCGTAAGGAATGCTCCTGGTCAAATAGCAAAATTTTTATAAAGCTATAGTCATTTACAAGTATGATACTGACAGGAGAGTAGACAAATAATTCAGTGGAAATGAGTACAGAACAGAACTACATGTGTTTGAGAATTAACCTTATGATACAGATAATATTCCATTATCAGTAAAAAAAAAAAATCTATAACTGTCTTTGGGACAATAGAATTTAATCATTGCCCCAATATATATTTTGAAATGTTTTTACTGATTTTTTTAGAGAGAGAGGAAGGCAGAAGGATGGAGAGATAGAAGCACCAATGATAAGAATGAAACATCTACCGGCTGCCTCCTGCACCCCCACTTCTAGGGGATCAAGCCTGCAACCCGGGCATGTGCCCTGACTGGGAATCAAACCAGCAACCTCTTGGTTCATGGGTCGAAGCTCAACTACTGAGCAACACCGGCTGGGCTCCCCAGTATTTAACTGTAGAAGTATGTGTATGAACCTTGAGTTGAGAAAGCCTTTTTCTTATGCAAGTTACAAAATTCAAAAAGATAAAAAGAATAAAAATTAAACTACTTAAGAATTAAACACTTTGTAATGAATTACATTATAAACAAGAATAGAGGAGAAAACATTTGTAACATATAAACAGAAAAGAATATTTATTTTTTAAAAGACTTCCTGCAAATCAATAAGAAAACTAAGAATTCAAAATAAAAATAGGTAATAAAAGTCCAAAGCAATAAAAAGAGAAAATGAGTTAATTAATAAGACAATGAGATCATCCATGAGAACAGAAAATTTTAAAACACCCAGTGTTGTTAAAGGTATAGAAAACTACCAATAGTGAGAGGTCAAAGTTGTACAGAATTTTTGGAAGATGTTTGGCAGTTCTCATTAAAATAAAAAATGCACATCCCCATCAACCCAGCAATTTTGTTTCTTACACTAGAGAACACTTGAACAGGTACACAAAGATTCAAGTACAGGAATAGTTACTGTAACTTGTTTATAACTGTCAGATAATGAAAACAATGTGAGTGTTCACCAAGAGCTATGGTTAATCCACTCTATGGAATACAATATAAAGAGGTAGATATCTATGTACTAACCAGGAAATGTCACTAAGGTATATTGTTAAGTAAAAAAGAAGAAAGTTGCAGAAAAATTGAGGTTAATAATTTTTAAATCACTCACTAAAATCATATGTGTGTGTGTGTTTTAAAAACAGGAAGAACCAAGTGTACATCATACTGATAAGAAAAATTACCTCTGGCATGAAATTCAAGGACTTTTGCTTTATTTGTATAGTTAAATATTTTGCAATAAAAATATGTTAATTTCATTTAGTTCCTTAAAAATAAGTGTAAAATAGCTCTGGCTGGTTATGGCTCAGTTGGTTGGAGCATCACCCCGTATACGGGGTGGGTTCAATCCCCAGTCCAGGTGCAAACAGGAGGCAACCGATCGTGTTTCTCTCTCACGTTGATGTCTCTCTCTCACTCTCCCTTCCTCTCTCTAAAAGGAATAAAACACCCCTGAGGATTAAAAAAAAAAAAAAAGTAAAATAAAATTAATTGAATACAGACCCAATCAGTACATAATTATGTAAAATATGGAAAAACCTCATCAGTATATCATTTACTGAAAAGGCAAATCCCCAAATATAAATATATATAATATGCCCCCATTTGTGTTTTTTTAATTGTTAATATACATATCTATGCAAGTAAATGCATCTACAGGTGCCTGGTAGGTATGCTGCTTTGAGACGGATTTATTGTT